TCATAAACACAATTTAGTCATAATATTTAAAGTAAATTGCCGTGAACACAGTCACTATTGCCATTTTGAAATACTTTCATACGCAAAAGCTCAAAACGATAACAGTATATTAATTATCTTATCATTTATTGAATAATTCATACCATAATATTATTGGATAATATTTATTAATATTTTATTGAACACTAGCTAGAAGAGATTTTATTTGTTAATATTAGATAGTAGAATAAGCAATATAATTATAGCAAAGTTAGCAAAATAATTTGAGCTAAACTAATAATTGGATCCAAGCTAAACCAACAATCTGATTATAGCAAAAACAGCAATATGATACTAGCAAAATAAGTAATTAGATCTTAATAAAAATAGCAATAATATTATAGCAAAAGTAGTTTTTGTAAAACTATTATTAAATGTTATAAAAGCAATATAACTTAACTAGTGATTTATAAGAAGTTGAATACTTTAGAAGTTGGAATACTTCAATAAAAATAACTTGTTAAATTATATTTAATATTGATTTTGATCTTGAAAAATAAATTACTATTGAATAACTAATTGTTATATTTGATTTGAAAGACAATTACTTAAAAGACTTATTGTCTTGAATTATTATTTTTAAATTATAAAAAATTTAAGTGAAGTCATTCTAGCTTGTTACAACAAGAACACACGTTATCTACCTTTAGTATAATAGTTTTTAGTTTCTCTTATCATAAAAACTTAGTCTCTCTCACCTTTTATTTAGTAAAAATATATGACTAACACATCAAAACTTAACATTTATAAAAATAATAACAATATTAAATAAATGCACTTTGTGATAACTAAGATAATAAATTTTGTTTATCTGCTGATCAGAATGTGATATATGAATATTTTGAGCTCAATCTTATAATAAGTAGTAATATTAATATTATAATACTGAGTTTTATTTTGAAAATAATTTTAATCAACTAATTTTTTTTGTTCCTTTACCAGTTCTGTATTTTTAGCTAAATGATTTTTAAATTTCTTGAGTAAATCTTTAGCTTCTTTTTTTTGATAACAAGTATTATATAAATCAGTTCTTGAATTTATAATTTGAATTTTTGGTATTAATTAATGTCACAAATTTCTGAATATATTATATTTTAAGAATTTCAAATTGTTACCTTCTTTCAAACATGCTAAAAAGTTCTGATAAACAGATTTTTGTTAACAAAAAAATAATTGTTTGAGTTATTTTATTAACACTTTTTTGTCTGGACTTAATAAGTCATTAACTTTAGTATAATTCTCAAGATAATTTTTTATAGCAATAGTAACACTATGATCAATTATCATTTTGATTTTTATTAAGACACTCTTTTAATATTGTCATAAAGTCTTGAAATCAAATCATTATTGATTAAATACTTCTAATATTTTCAAAATAAGTTTTATTAATGCCTAACATATTAAGATAAGTTTCTTGACATAAAGATATGTTGTAATTCCAACAATAAAAAATTTTTTTGTTAGATCTGATTTTCTTTTTCAGATGTCTGCTGGTGCTTATTAATTCATCATTCATTGTTTTAATTTGTATCATGAGAAATGCATCTTGCTCAAATTTGAACAGGGCTTGAAAGATCTCACGTAATTTAACAAAACTTTCTTTTGGAACTTTGGCTAAGCAATCACAATGGCAACCTTTTTCTAAGAAGTTAATTGCTTGTTCATATTCATTTATATATTTTATGCACAGTTTAAAAGAATTAATTAGTTGCAACACAGGAAGTCTGGTCATAATAAATGTATTATAACAGAACTATAGAACTTTACACTTTTTTTCTGATGAAGATGTGAAAAAAAAGGGGGGCCATCATTTACAAACATTACTTTGGATGAAACACTAGAAAACAGGCCTGGTAAACCTTTTCAAGAAAAAGAGAAACTTAAAAAAATTACACGCTCATGAACCACCACAATCTTCTGTATAATGGTACAAACTTGCCTCTGATTCCAGAACGCTTTGCTTATCCCTAAACATAATCCTGAATTAGGTTGTCTTGATGCATTTTTTAGCATGGACCTGCCTCAAAGATGGTACTAGTTTAAACAAAGTAGTAAAAAGCTGCACACAAGCTAATACCAAAATAAAAGATGGGAAGGGAACATGGCTCCAAATACGTTGTCGCCGATTGGCAGTCACAACATACTAAAGACCATCTTAGAACTTGGCCCGCCGATTGGCAGCGACCTTATTCCGTCTTACCTGTTTGCCTTATCACAAAGAGGCTATCCGCCGATTGGCAGCAATAGCATTTGGTGGAATAAGGTGCGACAGAGGAGCTTTTCCGCCGATTGGCAGACGAAAAGCTCATGAACGCGCAGGCAGGAGTCCACTCGCCGATTGGCAGTCAGCTTCACATCCCGCCAGTATATAACTAGGAGTACTGCTCGTCTGAACCGGACTTATTTAGGGAAAGAAAACACTGCTGTTAACAGACTTTTAAACCTTTCGTCGCCATTTCACCTCTGCCTTTTCCGTCACGTTCTTTGGACAAGAATCAACAGATGAACTTTGTCGTTCGAAGAATTTTTGTCATGATTATCAGATGGCTAATCGCACGTGACCGTAACGTTGGGTTTCTTTCTTCTGTTCCCGTCTTTCATTTTTCACTAATACTAGGACACACAGAACATGTCGCTCAGTAATGTTCCTGACGAAGTGTCGCCGTTCAATCCCCCAACTTTGCCAGAGACCTCAAAAACCTTTGTTGCGCCTACCGATATGCATCCAGCGCTGCAACAACTAGACATTAAAAGTTGGGATTTTCGCAATTTTGTGTTGCAAATAATCAAATCGGGCTTCATAGTCGACAGCCAAAAAAGCGTCGAAAAGCTATGGGTTGATGCTTTGCAAACTTTGGCTCAAAAGAAGAGTATCGGTTTTGTATTTCGTGGTTTCTTTAAAAGACTGTTAGACTATCAGGTAAATACAATAATGCATTGTCGTATTCCAACAAGTTATTCACTTAAGGTCGGTTTGAATTATAGGAATTCGCAGTGCTTGATCAAGAAACTGCAAGCGCTTTAAATCGTCATGTTGATCAGTGTGTGCGCTACCAACTGGCGAAATCAGCCGCCAGTATGGAGAAAGTATGACTATGCGTGAAGCGGTGTGTAACTGGTAGCACTAAAATGAAATGTATTGACCCGCTCCGAACTTTCGTTAGCTAGCAGAAGGCCCATCTCGAGAGTATCACGTCTCAAAAGAAATCAATCACTACCTGCTTTCAGTGAGTTCTGAACTTGTTTTATTTTGTTTGACATGAGATTCGATTCACCTGATTGACAACATTATTAGGAAGTTAAGGAAGCTGTGCTCTTGCCGGTAATACTGGCACATCCTGGCTTTTTGTAATTATTCATTTCTCAATTGATCATGCATTGCTTTTTAAAGGAGAATGATGAAGCAGACGCTGGCGAAGAAAGTGAATGTGAGTTTGGAACCAAAGATAAGGCTCTTTTTACAGAAAGGTATATTAGTTTTAGTTACATTCTATTCTGTCAGATTCACTAATTACTGTCAAACAATAGATTCAGGGAACTGGAAAAGTCAAAGAAATGGCAGCTGAAGTCAGGGAAATACGTTGAAGATGTGCTTTACGAGCTTGGAATGGCATGCCGGCACCATAAGTAAGAACGATGTTACATTATGCTTTTCTTTCCCAAGGACGAATTGCAACGTTGATCTTTTAGTCTCGTTCATTCTTTTATCCTTGACCCTGAGGATTCATTTGTTAAAAATGCATTCACAGAAGAAGAAATGTCCGAGATCATGGAAAAGGACAACGCTCAAGAGCAACCAGAAATTGATGATGAGCTTCTTGAGTATATAGACACTTTTGCCAAGGCAAGTTGAGTTTGAGTCAATAATGTTCTTTGTGGCTTATATTTGTAAAAAGATAGATTTTCTTTACAGAGCTCCACCAAAGAGGTACGAGAAGCACTTAACAAACCACATCCTCGACTTGGAAGTAACTACAACCCACAAAGAGATTTCGCATATGAACATGTCAAAACAACAGTGATGGACTGGTGAGTGTAAGAAAACTTTTTGGTTACACCTTACTATTCATTATATTAATTTAATATGATGCAGGGTCCGGCTCCTTGAAATGCAACCCAATCCTTTGACTCTGGATATGCCAGAAGGCTGGTACCGAGTTAATGTTTGGAGGATGATCGATATTGCATTTTCGGACATACCGTACACTTATGTTGTTGGGTATGTAACAACATAGGCAAACATATACTTTCTTGCACTAGTCTTCAAGCTATTTTTTCTTTTTTTTGAAATATAGTGGTGAGAAAGCTGGGCTGGCTTGTTCTGAGAGAAAGAACCGGTACAGAACTCTGGCAAATGTTGGGCCAACCCAGCGAAAAGCAATTAGGAAAAAAGGAGATGGTTACGTAAGAACCATTGGATCAATGTCAACTGACTGGGCAGCATCTGAAGCAGGCCCAAAATGGGAGGGCATGCATGGCACAAAGTTGATGAAAGAATCTGGCCTGAGCTTGCCAAGAACTTTAAAAAATATTTTGGTCCATCTTGCCAGTAAGGTGGAGTTTGCTGAACAAAAGCTGAGGAAACTAAATATAGTTGGTTTTGCACACGCAGGTTAGTGTTAGTGTACAAACTTCCTAGTGTAGTTTTGCCCTCCTCAATCTTTAATCACTACTATTATTTTTGAAGGTGCAGTTTTAATTCGCACAAATCTTGATTGTCCAGCTGGATACATTTGCCGCTATACAAGAGGAGAATCACTTGAGGTATATGCAAGCGAAAAAAACTTTTACAGATCCCTGGATGTATTGGTAGAAGTAATATACGCCAAAGTAAGTGATCAGCTTACTTTGTTCAGACCTGAAAATTCTCTTAAAGGCTTATTTTCTTTTCCCACTAGCTTGTAATTCTGCAAACAATGAAATTAGTGGGTGATGGTAAAGATAGCACTGGCAATGTTATAAGATGGAAAACCCAGAGAAAATTGAAAAAGCCATATGTCACTAAAATACCTGATGTTCATCCAACCCCAAAGAAACAGAAATCCTGGGCAAGAGAGGACGTAAAACTGTTTTATAAACATCAATCACATGACTAATAAAGACGTTTCATGTCAGACAATAAGGATTTTATATTTTAAAATCAAATATTCTATTGCTTTACAGTGGTGGACATAAGTAACCTACCCCCTTTAAATCATTCAAAAATAAAATAAGACAGTTTAAATTTTTTTTATTTTAAAATACATGACGAATCCTAATTCTAGTACATAGTATAGTCTCCATCGGACTCGATTAGTGCCAAAATTCGGTTTTTTATACTATTAATCAGATTTACGGCAAGTTCATTAGGAAGACGGTTCCACTCTTTCATTAGTTCCCCCTTTAACCCTTTAATTGATCGAATTTTTTTTTGGATATATTAATTTTTAATAGTCGCCAAACATTTTCTATAGGATTTTGATCTGGCGACATTGCTGGCCACAGAAGCTCATTGATGCCATTTTCTGCCTTCCAATTTTCGCTTTTTTTGAACAGTGCTTAGGATCATTGTCTTGCAAGATCCATTCTAAGTTACCTTCGCCAAAAAATTTCTCAGCAAAAGCTAAAAGACCCCTCTCGTGAATATTACACATAAAATTGGCATTGAGATTCCGTTGAAAACAAATTAATTTACCAAACCCCCGAGACGAAAAACAACCCCATACATGAAGCTTCGGTGGATGCTTAACCGTACGAAATACTTTTCGTCTGCCAATAAATTGCCAAACTTTCCGATTTGATTGATATAGTTGGAATGTGCTTTCGTCTGTAAAAATCACCTGATTTCAATTAAAATTTCGATGTTTTTTCGCCCAACGTAGTCGTTTAATTCGATGATTTTCATTAAGTAACGGTTTAGGAATTTCATTCATAAATTTTCCTCCAGCTTCAACAAGACGCCGTCTAATTGTTCTCGCACTGATGATAACACCTTGTTTTTCGAGTGTTTGCTGTATTTCCATACTAGTTATATCGTGTTTCATTTTTGCCATTTTAACAATTTTTTTATCTTGATTTGATGATGGGTATTAGTGCTACGTCGCTTGCCGGGTTTTTGTTGATCATTCAAGTCTTTAGTTTCTTTCTATCGGTTGGTCCAATAAATTACTGTGGGTTTAGTGCAGCAAATGTAGTTTACTGTGGCTTCAAGTCCCAGCTTTGGTCCTTTTGGATGTGTATGCAAAAGGACAATTTCATATCGCTTATGGAGTGGAAGAGCCATTTTTTGTAAAGCGTAGATGATCAGCATTTGTATTCTTAATGATTTGGCGTAATTGATATCGATATGGTATTACAATGATTCAAATTTTTTTTAAGGGGGATAAGTTACTTATGACCGGCACTGTATTTATATTTGTGGGCACATGAGCACGAGTTGACCTAGTACTGTACTCTTGATAACCCGTTTCCCGTAGGAATGGCTAATAACCTTATGTATCTTTGGATGATCACAACAAGTTTTTCGTATATGTCACCGGACCTGATTCCACAAAGAGTAAGTATACTCTTGGGATCAGTAGTAATACGGTTAAGAGTTGGCTTTGGAGGAACGAAACAGTGATGGAATGCTTTAGTGTTTTGACATTATTTGGTTTGTGGCACTGGGTGGATGACATGACCGCTCTTTGTATTTTAGTAACACAAAGCAGTTGGAAGATGCAAAGTTTTGTTGTTACATAAATATCCAGTTGTATATACAGTCAAAGTCCTTTACAACGGCCGCATTGGATTAACACTTTTGGGCCGGTATATAGGGCTTGTATTATAAACTTCGCTATATAGGGAGTTTTAAATAGTTAAAAATCGGGATATCAATACGGTATAAGCCGAATCCGATGTATACAGCGCCGTTGTAAAGGACTTTGCCTGTATTAATGTTAGACTTTGTTCCGGTGTGATCTTGAACAATGCGACGACTGTCGACAAACTCTGAGACCAGCCGAAAGAACAAATAGTACACAAAGAGACTGGAAATGACGGCATCATAGGGATAACTCGAAGTTATGAAACTAGGAACGCCACCGACCCGAGTAGCCAGACAACTAACAAAATTATTAACAAGGAAAGCAGTACGAAAAATCACAAGGAACAAACTAACAATTCAAAGGATGTCAATTACCTGATCAAGGTTTACGCCAACGAAGGAAGAGGAAAATTGCCCGAGCAAGCACATACCACTGATGCCGGCTTTGATTTGCGATATCCGGGAAAGCAGATCATTCGCATCAATCCGCGCAAGACTATCCGGATCAATCTCTGTTGTCTTGAGGTTCCCGTAGGATACGTATGCCAATTAATGTCGATCCTCCCTGGCCTGGCTAAAAGGGAATAGAAGTTAAAGGAGGGACAATTGACGCCGGATTAGGAGCCGTCCTCTCCCAGAAAGACGAACAAAATCGAGAATGTGTTGTCACATATGCAAGCGTTCCTCTGAAACCCCGCCGAAAAAAGATATAACGTTACTGAGAAAGAAGTTCTGGCTTTAATTTGGGCTGTTCGTCAATTCAGATACTACCTCCTTGGAACACTCTTTGTATAGTCACAGATCATATCATAATGCCCTTTCACAAAACAGACCAACCCTGGACCTCGAATTTCTCGATAGGTCATGACGATGATGGAATACACTTTTTTAATCACTTATCGTTCCGGCAAAACGAACCAGAACTTTCATGAATAGAATATTTGAATTCGTTTTCACGGAATAAAAACTTTCAAAATGGGGCGAGTGTTACACTAGTAACACAAGATTTATTTGGAAAAGCATTGTTTTTCTTTTTTTTGACGCCAATCACTTCGGCCAATACTTTAATTTATGCCTTAAATTACACTATAATTTTTGCAGTAAATTACATAACAAAAAGATTAGTAATTAGAGAACAAAAAAGAGTGAGAAAAAGTGCAATAAAAGGTTGTGTTATTGACGTTTGTGAATACAACGGTTGAATACAACAATATTGGCACGGGACACTAGAAAACTAATAACAAAATAGTATTAGTCTAACTCGTTTCTCCCACCCAAGTTATAGATTAGCAGTCTAATTCGGCCCCTAACCTGCAACAATATATAATAAAACCTGTCCCTGCAAAGATCGAAGAAATTCTCACCGACTCCGTCACCACCACAAATAATGCCATTACCACCACCACTGTAACGGATAACAACACCACAAAAAAAAGCTTCAAGCTCCAGAGTAAAGGGCCGAACTTTTATCAGCTCAAGTAGGACAGGCTTGGGACCCGGTCCTTTAGAAACAATTAACAGTCCTATTCGCAGCCAATTCATATTACAAATCAAAAAATTATAACTAAAAAAAATCTATCTCACTATATGATCAGAGCAAATTGCATTTACTAATTTCCCCCCAGGTTTCAGATTTGGTTGAGGATATTAAAGGTTAATTTTATCGTTGGATTAGAGTTAGGGTTAGAGTCGAGGATAAGGTTATATGTAAAATTGCCTTTCTGACATTTTTTATTAGTGCTTCAAGCCAGATTTAAGCATTCGTTTTCCGTATATTTCACATTATTCGCATTTTTAATTTTCTTGTGACGAATTTGTTTTGCCGGTCTGGTCTAGAAAACCCGGTGTGCAGTCAACCAATCAGCGATGGAAATTACTTGCATCCAATCAGAAACCTGGGGGAATTAGTAAATGCGTGATTTCGTGCATTCGGTATGCTGTTCATTCAGGATTTCGTGCATTCGGTATGCTGTGCTTTCGGTATTTCGTTTGTCGGGTTTATAGCTTGTCGGGATTATGGTTTTCGGGATGTCGTACCAGATCCATAATTAATTATATACAGTATATTCAATCTGCATGACTACTTGACAAGTAGAGGATGGAACCGGTTATATTTTTACAAACCGGTTCTAATACAGTGCAGGACACTTAAATACGCCAATAAATTAGTCATCTTTAAAGCAGAGGATCTTTATACAAAGATACTGTAACCCCTTGAAAATTGCAACCGGTTATATTACTGTCCCCACATTTTTTAGAAATACAAAAATCCATACCGATACCGATACCCTTACTAATTAATCGATTACAACCAGTTATAATAAAACCGATTAATCGGTTGAAAAATTTTCGAACCGGTTCTAACTTCTACTCCTTGAGACCGGCCTAAAAAATAGAAAAATAAATAAAAGTATTTAAGACATTTAAATTTAAGTCCAGTAAACTAAATTATTAAATAGAGAAAGCATTTAATACTTGAACCACTAATATCATAATTAACGTTGACCTATCATCAATATTTATTCGTTTAGAATCAAAAAAATAATTTATTTTTTTTGCCAAGATATGTTGTACATTGTATTAGCTTATCTTCTTGCATTTGCGTAAGTCTTCAACAAAAACATGTCAACTTTTCATAACCAAAAAGCATACGACGTTTTTCACAAAACCAAAATAGCAAGATCAAATAGTTCATCTATAAAAAAATTCGATCATTACAATGGCTTTACCTTTTTGATACACACAATGAAACTTGATAAGATAAAGTGGGTCTAAGATAGATAAAACTTGTTATTTTCAATATTTATCTCGCAATTTTCAGGTTAAATTAAGCAAAGTAACCACGACGTTTAGCAAGATGATTATTCAGATAAAGACTAATTTTTTTTTGCTCCCAAAATATACAGTAAGGTAAAGTCTCCAGGCTGGTTATTTTTTATAGAATTATAGGTTATTATATTTTGGGACAAAAAAATTTATTTAGACCCACTTTATCTTATAATGACTTTATCTTATTGAGTTTCACTGTATAATAAACTATAATTAAATTTACCTCTATGAAAAATAACCAACCTGGAGACTTTATCTTTAGAGTTTTACTGTGTACTTCAGCCGAGCCTTTTGCACACGCATAAACTTTTTTTCCAAGAGACAATGTTATTTATTAGTTTATCATAATAAACATGGCGTCAGATTACATATACGATTATTTTAGTTTGAAAAAAAAATCGTTAATAAAAAGACAAAAAAAAAGTTATCAATGAATGGATCAAATGACTAGTGTACGTGTATATGCGCGTTGTAATAGCTAAAAGATATACAATTCAACGAACCTCTGTTTGTTTTACAAATGATCTATTGCGTTGCCGCAAAACGTTACTTTTGTATTTCTTCCGTACATGTATTACGTATTCTGGATAGAATTTCCATCAAATATAACAGTTCGAGTTAATTCCGCTAAGAATAATAAGAACATCGGTACCTGGTTAATTATGAATACCTAATTTTTATTTTTATGGTTCACGACATAAATTTTTGAAATCCTAAACAAATTAACTCCCTCTCTCTAAACTAAGATTAATAAAAGCACAAATATTGTGTGTCAATACGTTAATAACAAAGCGACGAAGGCATATTCCTCAGTAACTCTTTTATCACATATCGATATATTTCCTTATTTCATTGGTTGTCTGAAAATTAAGATTAATTATTAGTCACACATGTAATGCCGCTTTGTGTGCTAGTGAATAAACTACATGTATTAGAATATTAATATTTCAAATTCAAATATTGTTATTAATTAACAGTTAAATTAAAGATTTGTTTGTAAATAATCATTAGCAAAAAAAAACAAACAAAAATTAGAAGTCACACTTTCGCCACATAATTTTTTCATCTGCTATAGCGATAGGTAACGAAAGTGTGGTGGTTGTGGTTGGTGTTGAAGAGGCGAGAATGAAGCTTTATACATGTATTACTTATCGTATTTAGAAGTACGTATGTTGCTCGGCCTACGGCGGGGGTACATTGCATCATGATCCACATGTACAGTAATATAAACAGTAATATTAATAATATTGATATCTGAATTTTCGGAGGTCAGTTTTTCCATATATATCGATATATAGTAAATTTATTTTTACTAGACAGAGTATGGTGTTGACGTGAAATGATCAATAGATTGTATTTATAAAGAAATAAACACAAAAGTCAATAGGTATGATAGAATAAGCTTTTTTTTACTTCTTTTGAATTTATCATTATACATGTAACACAATCATATTGACCGGCTTAGATGCACCATAGCCACACACTTGATGTACGTATCGGTATTCCAAAATTTTAGTATAAAAATAATATGTACAATAAAACATCCTCCATAATATGCACGTGACTAGTGGGTAAAAGAATACCAAGGACAAGAATGCTTTGTTTTTTAGCGTTTAAAACATTTCCCTTCTTCTTGTTCGTTATTCTGCATTGCTATTGTCTTTTCTGCGTGAAATTTTATCCAACACTACAGACATCATTACCATTACGTATAAATTTGCGCAACGTGTTCGGCCGATATTTTCCGAATATGGGAACTTGCAAAAAACACAATATGCGATATAGGAATACAGAAGATCGCTTCTTTGAACATTAATAATGTGTTATACATTGGCAATGTATTGTTGTACATGTAAATGATAAAATAAAGTAAGATTAATTACTTTGCATGCCAACAACGGGGCGGGGTCGGGTATTGTCAGGATTTCATCGTACGTATTTAAATCAGGGATAAGTTTGATCTAAAATTTTTTAACAAAAAATATCAATTAGATAAACAAAATAAAAACATTCGATACCTATTTTTCACTTGACTCATAATAAACACAAGATGTCTGAACCGATATTCTTACTCAAATCAACAATCCAACGAACAATTCAAAATACATTCACACAAATCACGCCTTTGAACCTAATAACCCTCTTCTTTGTAACAATCTTTACCAAGCTGGTGTATAAACTATTTTACGAAATTTATTTGAGCCCATTAAAACATATTCCTGGGCCAAAAGCTTGTGCGTTCACTGATGTTCCGCTTCGAATGAGACGTCCTTATGGACATGTGTATTCGTGGTATCAGGAGTTGCATTCACAGTATGGAAATGTTGTTCGTGTTGCGCCTGGTTTTGTAATGTTCTCAAATAAAGAGGCCATAAGGCAGATTATGATTGAGGATGTAAGTATCAAGCTTATAAAATTTTCATTTCAAATCGAAGTTAATTAGAAAAAGGCTAATTTGAGTATTTTTTATTCGTAAAATTTTAGCAATTTCCAAAAAATACAGCAATAAAAAATATCCAAACAAATCCTAACGTCCCAACTCTCTTCACAATGACTGACCCAACTTTCCATAAACAACGAAGAAGACTTCTTTCCCACGCTTTCTCAGTGAAATATCTTTCGAATATCGAACCACTAATACATTCATGCGTTGAATCACTCGTAAATAAACTCGCTTCGTTATCAAATGACAATGATTTGAAATCACCGGTAGTCAACATTTACGGCATTTTACAATCTATGGCATTAGATGTTATCGGCGAGACTGCTTTCGGCGGATCATTCAATATTGTGGAACAAGGTAATCACCCATTACCCAAAAAGGTTTCCGATGAATTTAAGCGACGCGTCATCTGTGCAACGTTCCCTTTTTTGAGACATTTCAAGAAACAAGATCCGTGGACTCAAAATTTCACTAATAACATTATTCGAGAACGACGCGAAATGAATGCCAGAGGGGAAAAACGAATGGATCTTTTACAGATGTTGTTGGATGCACGCGACGAGGAAACAGGAGAAGGGTTATCAGATTTTGATATTTATGATCAATCAGTAGAATTTGTTATGGCTGGTAGTGATACCACCGCATTCACAACATTTATGGCATTGATGCTACTACTACATCACCCTGAAAAATTCCGTGTTCTCATGACAGAGTTCAACTCTCTCTCAAGTGACAAAATTCCACGCCATGAATCTTTAAAACATCTCACCTACCTAAACGCAGTCATCAACGAAACAATGCGATTGTGGCCTGTTGCAACTGGTGGATTTTCTCGAGAAGCACCAAAAGACATGGCAATCAACGGAACATTTGTTCCTAAAGGCACTCAGATAATCGCGTCAGTCTACAGTATACATCACTCGAAAGAAATTTGGGGCGCGGATGTCGAAGAATTCGTCCCGGAAAGATGGTTAAATGAGAAAAATAAGAGTAATCTAAATCGACACTTTTATCCGTTTGGAGGTGGTTCGCGACTTTGTATCGCCATGAATTTCTCGTTGATGGAAATTAGAATTGCGTTGGCGGCGTTGATGATCAATTTTGAGTTTGACATGGTCAAAGGACAAGATCTGGAAATTGTTCATTATCTTACGCCGTCGTTGAAGACGAAGCGGTTTGATGTGCACGTACGACAACGAAACACTCATTGATTTTATGAATATTAGGACATTTATTTCGCTGTTTCTTACGAACACTCATTGATTTTATGAATATTAGGACATTTATTTCGCTGTTTCTTACGAACACTCATTGATTTTATGAATATTAGGACATTTATTTCGCTGTTTTTTTTCTAATTCATTAATTTTTATGCTAAAATGGTAGACATTTATTGTAATTTATAACAAACTTTCGTCTTGTACAAATTTTTTTTCTTTTTCAATTGAACTTGCCAATTCTTATTTTCTTTTACGTGAATGGATGTAAAAATTTATTTATTTTCCGAGTAATAAAAAACTGTTAAAAATAATTTTGTGACCTTGAATACGTGTACCATAGCCACGGCGAAAAGTGTAGGTCACGTGATGATAAAGTGCAAAAATATGTACAACCAATAGAAATGTAGCAAATTTTTGATCAGTCCCGGCAAAACAAATCAGACACAAGAAAATGAAAAATGCAAAAAAACACAGAAAACAGATACCTAAATTTACCTTGGAGCACTAATAAAAAATGACAGGAAGGCAATTTTATATATAATTTTTGCTCGAACCCTAACCCAAACCCTAATATTTGACCTTTAATATAAAACGGATATTTCAATAGCCCTGGTCGTCATCACGTGACCGACACTTTTTTAGGGTATTATTGAATGAAATTACGTAATTAACTAAAGGCACGTGATAATAGGAAATGGTATTTTCCACGTGATGTATCAACTTGATATGGTGCGCACCATCTAAAGTCATCAAACATTTATATTCTATAAAATGTATAAACTTCTCGACTAGGAAGTAAATTTAATCCGCAAATATGGTGGAAAAAGGCTTATTCTACCATATTTACGGATTAAAATTTGAATTACTTCCTATTCGAGAAGTTTATACATTTTATAGAATATAAATGTTTGATGACTTTAGATGGTGCGCACCATACGTACAGTATTTTTCGTAGGTGATGTTTGAACGCAACAGACGAAACTCATTTCCACATATGTAAGTACTGTGTACCCATGTATGTGAGATGATTAACATTAATTATTTAATTGCATACTGTATGCATGTACGTACATGTATAAGGAACGATATGTCAAAATAAAATATACGTATATTTTTTCATTGTTTTACGCGTACATATCGATATACAATAAAATCGACAAGGGATTAGACTTTCTCGTCACTGTTATCATTTTGTGTACCAAGGTGTATTAATAGCTCGGCCGAAATGTGCGTACAAAAAGCTTACATAACTAGTCAAAGAACATTCATCTCGGCCGAGAGTTCTTTGAGTGTTGCTGCTGCTATGCATTAAAAAACAAATGGGATCTGTCATTACTTTTTTCTAAGACTTGAGAAACGGTTCCGATCCATCTATCAATTACAAAGTATCATTAAGGATAAACTCTAATGATGATACAGTCTATTGAAACTCAAAGCATTTTCAATGGTATACTGACACATTATATTGAAAAAGTATACGTACACTGACACTTCGTTATAATGACGTTTTTGCCACCCCAAAGGCACTTGTATATACTTAAGCCACTTACATAGACTTAAGCCACAAGAAGATAATATACATAATAATAAATAGGGTTAGTGGCAAAGACTATCTAACTTACAGTATGTTCTTCATTGGCATGTCGTGGATTTATTAGTTATATTAGTGTTAGGTAAACTTTGTGTTTTAAACAAAAGTTGTGTTATATTTCTGACATGTACGCACAACGATAATTAGACCTAGAAATATTTGCAATAATTACTTTATATTGATTGGTAAATTAATGTTACTACAAATACATCAATAGAGTGAAAGAGAACTTTACTCAATTATCTGACAAGGTCAACTAAACATAAAAAAATATGAAAAATCAATCATGACGAAAAGCAGAAGTGATAGCGAAAAAACAAGAAAATTAACAAACCAACAATCCTTCTCTCAAGCAAATCAAGTGCTTTACCAAGTCGCTGCATATTCTGTTGACTGAACTCGTAAAATTCGCAGACAAGCTCGTCCCAATTATCATCGATCGATGTGTTAATCTCCTCGCTGATTTCTACGGTACGTTGCATCAGTTGTTCGGCTTTACGCCATCTCCGGTACTGTTTCTGAACCTCCACAAGTGAATTAAACATCAGTGCGATTCCTCATTTTTTTTAATTTACAATACAATTCAAATATTCGATTATCAGCACATTAATGGAATCACGAGTCAACACATCTTAGATAAAAGAGACCCAATTTAAAATAAAAATTTGCAAAAGTCGGTAAATACTTTTCCGATTATCCTCTTGAATTTGTTTATCATCCGCATGACGACGCATGACCATTCGAAGGATATCGATGATATGAATTATCTGTGCTTTTCGCAGGGCGAAGTTTGCAGCACTGGTTGCTGGATGGTCTTCAAGGGATTGATGATGGGAAATAATTTTTGAGAAACGTTTCTGTTTGGTATGGCTGATTTTGGTGCTCTTGTTGTGTTTCACCATTTTCGAAGATATGTTTTTGACTTTTCGGACACTGTTATTATTTAATATGAAGAACGAGTGGAAATGCTCACTCGGACCGAGTCCATCTAAGCATGATTGATTAAAATCTGTAGTATTGATATATTAAAAGTATTTAGAATCAGAAAAAACCTTCATCATTTTTGCTCATCTTCAGGATCAGAGCATTCATATCTTCGATGCCAAGTAATGATTTCTGAAGCAAAGATTGTAATTCTTCATTTCAACGATTAAAAAATTTGTTTCTGCACATCTCGATCTTTGTAAATGAATAGTTATGATTTTATTTTCAGTTTCGTAAATCTCAAAATCCGAACCATTAGATCAAGTTGCGAGACATGTAAAACACACTAGCGCTATGGTGCGCGCAGTCTAAAGACATCCAATACTTTGAACTGTAAAGGAATTTTATTTTAAATATATAATCATTAAAACAAATACATGTATATTATCAAATAGTCTTTGATATAACCTATAACATTATGTATTTTTTTGTTCATTTTATTATAAAAATTATTTGTAGTTAAGTTTTTTTAACATCAATTTTAATAATAATGTGAGATTTTCAGCACCTGAAATATCACGTGTATTATTTTTGATTGGTTGGATTTCATCATGTAAAAATACATGATAGTTTTTCATGTAAATTCTAGTTAGCAGTATAATAACTTGTTGGAAATGATAATCTTTCAATAATTCAGCAGTGACGCAGTATTTGATGCGACTAAGCTGCGCGCATCATAGTCTAGATAGAATGTGACATCTGAAATAGTTATATTGCAACAGAATTATGGCAACATCTCATTTGCTTTAACACCAATTTAGTAAAGTCTGATAAATTTAAGCGAAGTAAACGAAATGGTACCATGACTCAATTGAATTCAAATAATACAGAAGTTAAATTCGATCCGGATATAAGCATATGGACTAGTGATTCAATTACTGTAATTATTTATGAACTAAAACAACCCCCTTAAATTGTTTAGCAAATACAATAACGATAAATGGCAATCAAGGGATAGGACTATTTTTGTGCTCGTTTATTGAACGTAAATTGTAACAATAAAAATACTGTACACTAAAAAATAAGATAACAAAATTACGAATATCAATATCGATATTGCTATTCTTCAGGTGCATCTCTAGTATAGCTGTCATTCGGAAACGGCACGTGTCTTAACAGCAAACTAATAAGAGTAACCAAAGCAACACAAGGAATTCCAACTTGAAAAGCTCGGTGTAATGCATGGGTATACGCACTTACTATTAACGAGTGCACATTATCATTTACCAAAGTCGCCGAATTTTCAATTTCATGAAGTGATACGTCGTTTTCTAGAAAAATCTTCTCTAGATGTGAATCTAATGTATTATTAAAGATAGACCCGCAAATCACGACACCAAATGCCATTCCTATTAACCGAAAAAAAATCAGGTGCGAAGTGACGATTGCAATACCTTCTCGATGGACTGAACGTTGTGCCGAAAGTAAGGAACTTTGCATTGAAGAACCAATACCAATACCAGCAAGAAGTAAGCAAACGATTTGTACATGATTATCGGTTGACTCTTTTAACCGTGTCAAAAGATCAAACGCGAAAACTAATGTCGCGTATCCAACAGTTATCCATGGACAATAAAATGCAGAATTTGTGGTGGCATAGCCGGCGATTATTGAAGATAAGACCATACTACTTACGAGTGGCCATAAATCTAAAACTATTTTTGTGATACTTGATTCTTTCACTATTTCAAAATAGATCGGTAAATATTGAAAAAGCCCATACAATGCAATTCCGGTTATAAAATTGCAAATGTAAATAACATAAGTGTTCCGTGTTTTGAAAAGATGAAATGGTATTATAGGCTCAATGGCGAGTTTTAATTCAATTAAGAGGAAGAAAATTAATAGAAGTATGCTTGCTCCAATCAACGAGAGAATTATTGGTGAATCCCAGTTGTATCTATCAACACCCAAAATTAATGTCAAAAGTAAAGTCGAATTTAAGCCAGAAAATGCAAATATTCCATAATAATCTACTTTTCTTAGTTTGTCTCGAAATGAGCCTTCTCCTGATTGATTGTCATCAAGAAGGAAAATAATAATGATGGTAGATGAGACTGCCATTTGGATATTCATATAAAATGTCCACCTCCATGAAACAAGCTCGTTAAAAATTCCACCCAGCAAGGGACCAACTACAGTTGCAAATGCAAAAACTGCTCCCAGAATTCCTTGATATATACCACGCGACTTTACATACACGATCTCTGATGTTATTGTACTAGCTAATGTTGTCATTCCACCTGCACCTATGCCTGAAATAATACGACCAATAATAATCATGGCTATGTTTTGTGAAACACCACAAAACACTGAGCCTATGGTAAATGTTCCCAAAACAGTTATAAATATATTTTTACGACCGAAAATGTCCGAAAGCTTTCCGAAGATTGGTGTTGCTGCTACACTAGTGATTAAATTAACGCTTCCTATCCAATTATTTGCGGATGATGACGATACATTGAACTCTTTCGCTACTAACGTAAATATATTTTTATTTGACATTATCAATTGATCAGCAGCAGCTAGAAATATTGAAAGTGTTAAACTAAAGAATATTAAAAGTCTTTTAATAACTGACGCTACATAAGTTGGTTCATAAATATGACTACAATTCATTGTATTCTCTGAGAAACTTTTATTTCTATCGAGATTGTGTCGGTTTGCTACCAATGTGAATTCGTTGTCGTCGGTTATTTCTACAATTGCAAATTCATTGTCGTCGGCTATTACTGTATCATTATTTGGCTCTATTTGTATTTCTGTAGATTCTCTTACACTCACTACATCGTTACCACTAATTTCCACCCTAATATCTTGATCGACGCGTGATTGACTACCGAATGAATCAACGTTTCGCAAAAAATTTTCGTAAGCCATTTTTGTTTTAACATTAATTTTTTAGACGAACAGCTGATATCGATTTTTTGTGTTTGCACTTTTGCGCATTTGCGCATTATAAATAATTTCTGAATTGGGACGTATCAACTATATTTTTAGATTTGTAAAAATAAAATACCCATTGACTGATTCAATAGGAATCGGTGTATAAATAGTTGTTTCAATACATTCCATAAATTCACTAATTCATTCTCGTAAAAGAACTATTGATAGAGAACAAGATTTTAGTTATTGGTTTTGGCTATCGTCTTTTCAATCACACAGAGCTCTACTATGGTATGATCATCACCCCAAGAAAAAATAAACAAAATTTCGAGAGCCTGCCTTTAGTATCCCTCTTCCTATAGTACTCTCCCGAGTAAGTGCCTCCATTTACGCCAGTGAAACTGTGAATAGTTAGTATCAATACTAAATGTCCAATTAAAAATGTGACGCAGTTTATTGTGGTATCAATTATACCTTGATTTTCTCGATATATCTCGATGGAATTTGAAATTTATTGAATTTTGTCTAGAGATGGTTTGGTTGTAACACACAAATAGAAATCAAATTGGAAAACGAGGAAACTTGGCCCAATTTCTTGTATAACCTCAAAGCGACAAAGTTCTTAAAATAAATTGAAGTCATAGTAGGCGAAAGTAATGTCGCTATAATTACGTAACCTCATCCTAAAAAAGCTCGACATTCCTGCGCATCACTAACCCAAGATGATTTAGGGTCTGGATAGAATTTTAGTGAGTCGATCATCAAGATGATCAGTACCCCAAAAAGTAACGCCAGATTTAAAATTATATACATGTATATACCGATATCGATACATGTATGTTAATACATGTACATATAAAAAATTTTTTGTTGATTTTATAATTAAAATCATTTCCTTCATTCAAAAGTGGCGTAACTCTTGTTCATTTTTCAAAAATACAATTGATTAGCTAAAATGATATAAAATTTAGAAATAATTACTAATAGATATAACTTTAAATTTTCAAGTAACCAACCCCAAACCCCATAACGTTCCGAAAATCATGTGTAATGTTATGAAAATTTCCGGATACAAAAACATTACAAGTGCTGATCATGATGCCTTTTCTAGATTGGTAGAGCTTCTATATGTAAAAGTCACTCAATCTAGAGTGTGTTAAGATTTACTCAGAAGATCAAAGATCAGAACTTTTGACATTAAATTATGCATGCACACGGCTATTTTTTACTACGTACTAGGCCGATCCTTTACTAATTTTATAAAGTAAATTTTGTTAAAAGTCAGAATTCTTAGAGTACGTTACAGTTATGGATTTTTATATTCTCGTGCATCAATACACTGAATTACTATCTTGATAATTTGTTAATTTTTCAAATTTGAGTTTTCAATCAATTGTTTAATATATATTTTATTTGCATTATGCATAAGCTTTGCAAAATCTTATTCTATGCTTTAAGCAACTTATATTAAGTGTTGCGTTTTTAACTCTTGCAGGACGCCAACTCACTAATTGCAACCTTAGCTAATGTTCTAATAACGTTTGAATTTCTTTTTATTGTATTCAATATATTATGACATTCTTTTTTGTAGACGTTAAGCATAGGCTTAAATTTTTACTATAGGTAAATAAATAAATTACGTAGTTTATTAATTTACACGGCTTATACATAATTTCGGCTTAGCTATACAAGAAACGCAAAAAGTATAACTAAAGCATTTGTACAAGCTTAAATGGATTGTGCAACGGGAATTAGATTTATATGAGTTAATCAAAAAGATTTCAGCATCCTTGAATCTCAAAAGCATTTAGGTCTCTGATTTAATAATGAGCTCATTATTAAATTTTACCCTGAAAACAATGTTTTTGCTCGGAAAATGATCTATTCTATTCTATTCCGACAAATATTCCAAAAGATACCCAAAAAATAACATGCTTCCGGTGGTTTTTTAACCAAAAATTTTATATAGATTATTTTGACTTCAAACAGTTTAGGAATTCTCGCATTCAATAATTTCAGATTGGATAGCTACGTTGCTCAAATATTTGGCTTGTAAACACGCAGAAATACCCTATAGGTTTGGCGCAAAACAAACTGATAATATCACAGTTTTCAAAATTCATAACATAAACTTTCAATTATTGAACCTCTGCTTAGTAATTTACTCGATAAGATTATTGCTAATAATTTATATTTAAATTTTCGTCAAGTAAATCAATAATACATTCACAAATATAATTTATTTCCCTTGTTCCGAATTTCGTGCTAATTGACTTGTGAGTACATTTTATGATATTCAAATCAAAATTTATTGTCAATATTAAAAAATTCATTTATTTTATGGTGCATAACATCTAAACTCATCAATCAATAGACTGTGTTTTATAATTCGATAAACTTATTTACTGGGGAAGCAAATACAAAATTTAATCAGTGAATGTTATTAAGAAAGGCCTATTCTATCACATTCACGGATTAGATTTTGTATTTGCTTCTATCTAAAAAAGTTTATTGAATTATAAAATACAGTCTATTGATTATATAAACATACAAGTTTGTACGTTCAAAGCTCCGTTCGGTTTGATCCGAAAATCGTATTTCGTTAATAACTTTTATTTTTACTAAGACAATTGTACTTTGTGTCTTAAGTAGAGTTGTTCGGAATGTAATTGTGTATATATTCACAAATTTCGTTTAATCTGAGTTAATATTGAACAAGAAATAACAATTTTTAGGCTGACCCAAAATATTTCGGGTCTGGTCACGGATTGGACCCGACCCGATTGGAGCACTAGTACATACCGTATACATGTATGGTGCATAACATCTAAACTCATCAATAAATTGTATTTTATAATTCAATAACTTCTTCATTGGGAAGGAAATACAAAATTTAATTCGTAAATAGGCCTTTCTTGATCACATACACGGTTAAATTTTGTATTTACCTCTTAGTAGAAAGTTTATTGAAGTTATAAGATACAATTATTGGTCATTAGGTGTTATGCACCATAGTTTCGAAATTAGGCACCTTTACATTTTGTATATTAACCAAAAATATACACCCTCTAAAAAACAGCATATTCGTAACAAATAACTTTAAACTAATTTTTATAGTCATCTCCCGCATTTTAATTATATCATGAGTCACAGCTAATCCCTGATTCCTTGGCTTATCTCAGTTATCCTGCCTTAACCCAATGTCCAACTATACTACTCTCAAGTTCAAATGGCTACTTTTGGTAGTCTTTTTATGTTTAAATCGTTTTTCTTTTTTACATTTGTCTTGTGTGAAATAGAATTCAAAAAGATTCAACGTTAACAAGCTTGTGTAGTTTATTTCATATTTCCAAATCACTCGATCACTCAAGATCATTTGAACAATACTTGTGAAGCAACTTCAGAAAATTTATTAATATACCCGAAATTAAGCATCCATATCGATATAGCAAAAAAGTGGTGCTTAATTTCGGAATTATATTATACAGTGTATTTTTGCATATGATGCATACTGTATAGTTGAAGAATATAACAATCGAACAAACTAATTTATACTAGATCATTCTATCAGTTGAAGAGGAAAAAACTGAGAATTCTTCTTACAAAGTCATAACAATGCATCCAATTGCTGACAATAGCCTATTAATATTGAAAATGTATAAATTTGTTGTATCCCATCTAAATCTGAATCAGACGAAATAAATTTTTCTGCCAAAGGATAGTTTCAGTAGTAGTAATTCGCAAATTAGTTATCGTTGTTCCTATGCTCGAGAACTGTATGAATGAAATACCACTATTCAAACTGTCTAGATAGATGATGTTATTCTTGCTAATATTGATCAAACCAAGTACTAATCTATTAATAGATTATGTAAAAGATTGATTAATAAAATAAATTTCTAATTCATGGAATATTAGATTTTGTGTTATTTATTTTATAAAGTGTCCACATAATTTTGATTGCCCTCTGTATATTTATTTCATATTACAGCGTACATGCTAATTTTAGTTTAAAAGTTCACCCTGAAATTTTTTTCATTTGTATATGCTTATTGGATAAAAATATTATTGCTGAAGACTTTATTTATTTGGAATATTTTGATGATGATTGCTACTCTATAAAAAATTGTCGATCATACAATATTTCCTGCAAAGGCTAAGGAATTCCAAGAACTGTTCATGAACTTGCCGGAATCATTTCCCAAAATATATATGGAATTATTGTACATTTTCCCGATCATTCCTGAAATTCGCTAATTCAGAAGCCGTTATTAATTCCCAAGTTATTCCATAATATTTTTATACAGTTTCCCACGATTTTCATGGGACTATTAATGAAGTTCAAGTTTGTAAGTTTGATTTTTTCACTTTAGTTGTTTGTACCGTACACGCACCTACAATATATAACCGGGAATTCCAAAAATGAAATTGTCACTTTGGAACACGATACCTCGATATCTCGACATCCGATGATCCCATTTGAACAAAGATATATCCATTAGATTCGTATAGTCGTAAAAAATTTAATGGAGATATTTTTGTTCGAATGGGATCACCGGATGTCGAGATATCGGTTTCCAAATGACAAATTCATTTTTGGAATTCCCGGTAATATATTGTAGGAGCGTGAATTTCAAAAATCCATGATACATCAATATTGATTTTAAAAGAAATCACTCACTTGTCGAATGCACAAGTTTGAACATTGAAATTGAGCAGTTATCGTAGACATCAGTTTTTGAAAATCCGTGGTTTTTTGAGTTTAGATGTGTGGCTTAATATGAAATTTTTATTTTATCCTTGTATACGTACGTATATGATAAGTAAGAATGATTGTCAATCTTACGAATTGTAACCATAATAATCGATTATTTTCTATAAAAATAGTTTTATTAGTTATAAACAAAAGTTAGAAGAATGATTATGAAGTAAGAATATGGAAGAAAATATTTACTCATTACATGATCAAATTTCTCTATTGAATATACAAATTT